AATTCAATGTCAGTATGTGAAGGCGGCGCGTCTTGAATCTCTAGGCGTCCAGGGACATGGAATAAAAAAACATCAAGAATTTGGCCAAGGCTGCCACGCGCTTGACCGGTAAAATGTGATACGATATTGGATTGTGTCGTCAGTATATTAATAGTTCTCGGTATATTAATGCTACATGCTGCTGCTGAGGGCATCAATCTCGCCAGAATCATCCCCTCTCACATCAATTCATGCTAGACGGATGAAAGATTAGGAGGAAAAGGTCCTTGATGTCTGGGATATCCACGCTTGTTTATAATCTCACCAAAAGTTCTGTGTCTTGCGTTCATAGGCGGTTAATCGCAGTTTGGTTTTCGTATACCCCTTGAAGAACGTAAGCAAAAATGCCTTTATGTTTTATATTTGATACTCATCAATTTACTTGTCCGAAGGTAGAATGACGCCTAGCCAATGGATGCTATATGCTTGGTCCTGTGGTCGTCTCCGTCCAATGATCACTATAATAGAGAACGTCATTGGACGTGCCGATGCAGGCCTTTGGAAGCAAGAAATCAAGGGCCTGGTGTGGTCGCTCACTGATCCGGGATATAAAGAATCTGGTAACCTATGCCATGAGTAATCTAGAATTCTGAAGCGTATTAACAAAGGGGATGCAGGAATTAAAACCAGTGTCGACATCAGGGAAACCTTCGGTCGAGCCGTAAAGAATGAATAGATTACTATATAGTAAAGACTTGATATTGGAGTACAATGAGCCTGTTCCGTCGAGGTTTCGTTTGCTTGAATTGTCGTTAATCAAAGGAAGAAGGAGTTTACAATTATCGTTGAGCCAATATCATTTATAGCAGCAATTAACTTGTTTGAAGTGGATGACCCTTGATTGGCTAAATTGGTTAATAGTGTGTTGCTAGACGCCCCTACGTCTGGCACAAAGGGCACACATTATGAGTAGAGTCCTCGCCAAAAAGTCATAAACTGGATATATTTTTCAGGCTTTTAAATTGAATAGAATACTTCCACTTTTAGACGCAGGAAAAATACGTACAAACTCAAAATTTTAATTTTTACGAGAGCGTTTTCGATTGATAAGAGGCTCGTCCTCAGACTCGCTATCCTCTATCACATTAAACATGCTTCCAGCATCTAGCGTAAGATCCACTATCTCAGGGCCTAGGGTAACAGCTTCAGCTCGCTCTTGATTTAGTACTCTAATGAGTTCTGCATCCCACTCACTATTGTCGACTTTGAAAGTGTCACTAAGGTCCACAATAGGCTCGTTTTCATCAAAAACCTCTTGATAAACCTCTTCGACTATTTCTTCCTGTGCATGACTCCTCTCGTTATAGTATCTCATGCCAATTTTCACAGACTTCTTCCATACAGAGTAAAAGACTTTACACGGAATCTGGGAAAACAAGCTTAGTAGCCTTTTTTTCAGCAAGATGGATGTCATTGTCACCATTGCTCTCGAGGCAATTATGTTTTTCACAACTGCCCAGATCTTCTCAATAGGTTGTAGCTCGCAATGGTAGGGTGGAGTCTTGAGGATTTCATGTCCACCATTCTCCTGGGCTATTTTACTGATAGAGAAATACGACTCATCAGGAAGAGCGTTAACCAATTCCATAAGCTCGTTTTTGTTCAGTGCTTTTCCATTTTCCCTTGTTGGAATAACAATCTCCTTGCCCGTGAGCCACTCTTTGATAGTTTTCACAGTGTCGCTCTTGGTTGGTTTCCTGTTTTTCTTGTGAAAGTGATATGAAGCGCCATCAAGATGGATTTTACAAGGGCCAAGTCCCATCTTATTGAGATTCTCACAAAGTCGCTTAAAGATACTATCGAACAAACTAGCGTTGAAGTTTCCATGATAATCGTGATCTGTTGCCACGACCCCTGCATTCCTGATCTCCTCAGGTACGTCATCCCACAGTTCAGCCTCCTGCTCTTGGCCTTTTTTTGATTGAGGCATTGGTCCCTTTGATGGCCAAACATACACGCTATCATTAACGAATTTGCCTTCAACCTTTTTAGCAGCTTCATCATAATATACAATGAAGGCTGCAAATATAACCATGATTGGTTTCCTTCCTGCATCGTTAATGACACCACCGCCACTTTGCACCCAACGTCTTGCTGCAGCATGGTCAATGTGGCAGTAAGACTCGTCCAAGAAGACCTCTGGAGTCCTAGGCACCCAACTGCCGTCTACTAGTTTTAAATTCTTAAGACGGCGCTTCAGGTAAGTAGCTCGGAAGGCAATATTCTCCTTGGAGTCGTGCAAAAAGTTCTGTCGGATCCCTTTGCCCCAATACAGTCCCATTTTACGGAGGTCGCGAGTGATTGATCTTGCTGATCTGTCGATTTCAAAGTCTTCTTTCAGTTGGTTTGCAATTAAACCCGCAGAATTAGGAGTCCCGCTCTTGTTTGATTCAACTATGATATTCAGCACCTTCGAGTTTAAATCCTTGTCCGCTTCTTTTTTAGGGCGTCCAGTTCTTCCTCGCCCTGTCATTTCGACGATGCCTGTTTGTGCATATTTAATTGCTGCCACACAAGTGTTTCTCCCTACACCCATCAGAATCGAAAGGTCCATTGCTCTGTTGTCTGTCTTCTTAAACCAGTCTTGGACTGCTGGTGGCGCATTCATTATAGCATTATATGTATGAGCTATTATCGCGTATTCGTCTTTAGTAACGGACGCTTTACTGCGTGTAAATGCCTTTTTTCTCTCTCCAGTTTGTTTGTCTGACAAGAATGGATTTAAATCGAGGGTATTGGGACGCTCACCGAATTGCTCTAATGAGGTAGAACTCCTTGGCTCGTTTCTGGGAGGAGTAATCCATTGATATTCGGTAGGAGACCTAATAGGGGAGAGATCGGCTTCAGTGGGCAGTTGTGGCGATCTTCGAGGCGAAGTGAAGGGTGTGCCTGAAATCATTTGGTCGATATTTCCTTCGCTATACCAACCACCAAGATCGTTGTATGAGAGTAGGTTATTGATATCAAAAGGGAAAGACATTTTACTATCTGAAGATTGCGAATAAAGTAGGTTGACAATGAGGATGAGATCGAGAATGAGATTGAGAATGATGTTGCCCATTTCTCGCAAATTCTAATATTTCTAATTAAAAACGAAGATTGAATTGGTTTGGTGGCCATGCATCTAATTCATTCCTTCTATTCAAAAAATATATGCATTTTTGTCTTCGTACGTAAATTTTTATTTTTCAAATTTTTAATTCAAATTGAGTATTGTAAAATATATCCAGTTTATGACTTTTTGGCGAGGACTCTACTCACTGTAACAAAGACTCCATACATGAATCCAAGTTAATCTCGCTTTTTTTTGTTTTGTTTCCAAAAGAGAACCCATCTGGACCAGATATCATTTTTGTATTAGAATCGGAGGGTAAATATTATCCTGGTTCCGTACAGTCAAAAATCGGCGAGAAGGTCAAGAATTAAGGATGCCCACAATACAACTTGCCATAATTGCATCAAAGAACACCTCTCATCACCGTCTTCTCTCGGCTTTTGCTCGAATGGCATATCCTTGTTGCTGTTGTTTAGGCCTTACTTATCACGTTGCCTTATCATGTTGCCTTATCACGAACAGGGTGATTATTCGCTAGCTAAAGTCAAAGAAGTTCCTACCATCAAAGACAAACGAATAGAAACGACGTACTCAATATTAGCTTGTTGAACTTCCTTGAAAGTGCAAGGGAGTCCCTCAAGAAGTCAGAATTGACTCGAGCTGTGGAGGATGAGGGAGAAGGAAGCAAGCCCAAAGAACCACAGGCAAGGAGGACATCAAAGAGAATTGCCGATAAAGCTCAAGCTATGGAGCATCGCCCTAGCTCATGGAATATGAGTCCAACGTTTTCAAGAAGTTTGGGGCTCCTCTTCCAGTTTATGTTTGCGTAGTCTTCATCAGTCAGGTCTTCACCGGCTGCCTTTAAAACACGCCGTGTTAAAGAACCCTTGTGAAAGTTTCAATCCCTGGCTGAGATCTTCTTCATCTACGTCAGACTGCTGCTATCTCTTCGTCTGGATTGTGCCATAGGCAAGTGGATTCAGAACAAGGCCATTGGTAGAATCGTCCCTTTGAGTTTGAACCGAGTTATACCTTTGTCTTGTGCCTGTAGGGGTACCTTGTCTCGATAGCCATGAAACATGCGATCTCCTTCAATGTCACAAAGAGAGCCTGTATCTAGACCTCTTTTGTTCCCTGTACACATTCAAACACTGCAGCCTTGGGAGGATTGTCGAGAGGATGTCAGTTAGAACGTGTTCAGACAGATACACATACCGAGGGGGGACGTAAGGAAGTCTGTTTTTTTTTTTTTTTTTTTTTTTTTTTTTTCATTCCATTGTTCTCTGGCAAGAAAAGCTCATCGAACAATAAAAAAATAGAGAGCTTTAATAGAGAGCAATCGACTGCAGAATATGCATGAGGATTCTCTACACAAAGTTATATCTTTGTGCTCCTGTGGTGAATACATGGGTAGATTTGACTCGGTCTGTAGGAACTGATTTGAAACAGGTGGCTACATCCTTGTCAAAGGTAACAACAAAAGAAAAAAAGTCTTCTTTCTTCTTTTTATCAGAGAATGGCTTCATATGATGCTCTTTGCTCCAACAGCTCCACCAATGGAAAGGCTTGTGTTTTAGCAAAATGTGTTTGTGCATGTACAGAAACAAAAGAGATGCTTCAGCTGCTTATTCGTGCACACAGTGATTGACGAACAAAAAAGGAAAAAGCCCGCGATAAAAGAAGGCATATGCAGACAACAAATAAACAAACTGTTTGCTCACATACATTTTTTTCACCGTTGTGTCTGTAACTCTTCTAAGCTTTCTGTCTGGCCGTTTAACACAAGGAACCCTCAGAAAAAGAAATACCTCGCATGATTGGTGCCAGGTCTGAAAACAACAATAATGCAATGCTGTACGTGGAAGATAGGGTCTAGAAACTATACCATTGATCACAACTGCTACTCATGCTCTCTTGCCAAGGACTTGAACAGGCATACCAACCCCTTCTTCCTTGCTCTCATAACCGCTCACATCCTTTCGATGCATTCTTTCGCCGTTTATGTCCACTACATCTGAACCACACACAGTTCACCACTCACTCCAACAGAGATATTTGTATCACCTTGGGTATGATATGTTGCTGTGGTTCCCTCTGGTTTCAACAGGCCCAACAAACTCTATTAGCAGTGTTTATCAACCCAAATACATCAAGGGAACGCAAGAAGACGAGTAGGCAAATGATGCGACAAATCAAGTCTCGTCGAGCTGTACAGAAAAAGATCAAGTTAGTCAGGCTGTAGAACGAATCAACTCAGATTGCCTCAATCATACGACGAATATTATCATCACTATATCACATCAATCAATCAATAAACGATACAATGAGGCCCCCCAAGCGGACAATGGAGTCATGCGAAAGTCTTCATGAGTATTATGGTCTAACCCAACAGTTCGAGAGGAAATAGTCCAATTGTTGGAACTAAACATGAGTACCAAGGGGGCTGCAGAGGACAAGATCCTTAACCACAAGGGGATATTGTTGCAGGAGCTGTTTTCCTTGAAAGGATACAAGGACGTTGGACTGCAACCTGATGATGGCCCTAGAAGGAAACTACGGACATCGTTCTTTACAAACGGCCTTACCCTAACACTTCTTGCCTATGACACATCGAAGCAAAAAAGAGGTAGAGGTTCGCAAGCTGCCCAACCTTCGGATACTCAAAGATCTCAAGCAGTCCAGGCTTCTTCAAGTGCTCAGCAGGGATCCTCGTCTTCAGGCCATGGTGCAGGCGATGGTGGTGATGATGGAGACGACGACGGAAATGAAGATGACGATATCTTGCTGGGTATCAGCGATATTGACTTGCTGGAAGTTGATGAACCATTCTTAGATGGCGACGAGGGAGAAGAAGCAGCTGAAGAAGGTACATCGAGCACAAATCCACTGTCCCCGGTGAGTCCCAGTCCCCGGCGTGGGATCAACTGGAAGCAGAGATCCCGTCTCCTCGAGAATGTAGAAGTTAAATATGACACCCAGGCAGCATGGGACCAGTGACGACAATAAGGAGACTATATATAGGGCGCTTGTCGATTTCTATAATGACGGGTGGTTTGTTCGGAATAGCTGGGATAATAGAAAAGCACAGAACGGATGGGTTGATTATGTGATCAAGGCAATTCTGAAGCTTGCGGGCGGAAGCAATGGAAGAAGAAGAGATGCCAATACGAATGCGGTGATCTGTATTGGACTAGGATCATTCAAGACAAACCGAGGACAAGTATCGAAGCATGGGATATTGATGAAGAAGCTTGTTGAAAAGGTAAAAAAAAAATCCCTTGATCAATGACATTTAATTTTTGAGTCTTTTTTTTAACGAGTATTAAATCTGGCTCGAACAGGCAAAATCTCTAGACTACCCCATTGCAGGTTGTCATGAATACTACACATCTGCCAAGTGTCCACGGCCTCACTGCGACAGTATATTGGAGAATGTTCCTTTTCGATCCAAGTACTGTCGAAATTGTAAAGCATACTTTGATCGAGATGCTGTTGGTGCTGAGAACATCGCAAGGGTCTGTGAGTCGCAGACAAGAGAGCAAAAACGACCTGCAAAAATATATGCCGCCGGACGAATGTGGGACACACATCCTTGGGTGTATATCGATCTATATCAATATCTATATGTCAATCAATGTCTACTATGTCTATACATATCACATCGCGTCAATCAAGATGTATTATCTCGATCCCTCCATCTCAAATGGATATAGCCCGTTCCATTTGGTCGCGATCCCTTATATTTTTTGAATACTCTTAAATGTAATGGCAGCCAATTGACTCGCTTGTTATTGCAAGTGGTGTGACTGGTCATTAAAATTATTTTGTATCCACTAATCTGTCGAGCCAGCTAAAGGAATCTTTGCGCAAAGCCTTTGTAGTCATAGGCGGGTCCGCCTCACCTAGAAACTACCGAGTTATAAAAGCCAAAGAAACTTCCTTCTTAATAAAGTCTTCAGTTTTCCCCATATGTCCTTATTCTTCACCTGCAGTTCATCTTGCCATTTATCTTTTTCCCCTTTTCACAACAAGCATTTGTCTTCCGGTAACTCAGTTTGTGAGCTCACCTATAAAGCTCCCATCTTTTTGACATTCCTATGGTGCTGTTTGTAGTCAAGGTTATTTGACTCTATTTTCTCTTGTCAATCTTGTTGACACTCTTTTGTCCTGCCTTATTCCTGATTGTGTCTATCTTTCTGTCCCTTAAGCAAAGATATTTTTTACAACAATGCCACCAAGCAATTTATTTAGGATTAAGATATGTGGGGTCTATATGTTGTCTAAATAGTCCTCCCCATAAAAAAAACACCATCTAGACCAAGCATAGAAATAAAGAGATTAGTCAAGAAAGCACTGTCAAGCTAATACTTACAACTTTTTCAAGACGAAGGTCTTTCCCGACCTAGTCATGTTTGTAGTAGCTCATGAAAAATTTTAGACAGACAAATAGTAACCAGGGAGCAGAAGTGAGAATAGGATGTGGGTTCACACATCACATCCATGGGGCATTTATCCAAATTTGTATCAAAATAAAACTGTAAGTTTGTATCGGGCACCACACCATGGGGCATAGAGCCGTTAGTATGTCTGTATTATAAATCTTCATGTAACACGTGTACTGTGAAATATGCAACTGATCTATCCATTGTTGTTGCCGGCTTGGTGTCTTTCTCCCCATGGATTCAACGAAGGCTATTTTGATATCTCGAGTTTGGACTCAACCTGTCAGTGAGCATTGGTGCAAGCATATAAGGCACACAGGCTGTTGACGAGCCTACTTCTCACCTTCACCGTTTGACGCAGGTCAGGGTTGTGACGGTCTAGCGAAGAAAACGTAAGGGCATTAACAATATCAGGATCGCATTAGACGGTAGTTGTGGTATTTGCAGATGAAAATAGGGAAGAACTGCGCAAACCCAGCGGATCCAAATAAAAGAAAAGGTGAGTCGACTCAAGCGGAGGACAACAAGTCCAATAGGCCAAGCAGGGATAAGGGACCAAGGAAAAAGTAGCGATCGTTTCTTTTACTTCTTTTTGCTCGCCATTGTTTATGACAATGGCACAGACCACAATTTTGTAATATAGCACTAATAGATAAATTAAAATATCGCTATTTCAATAAACCTGAGCAAGGAGAAGTGAGCACACCAAGCGGATTGCCGCAGCTGCATCATCAGAATTTTCTCAAGCAAGTGGCAAGTTGTTTTTATGAGTGGCGGAATAGGAATCCTCTCTCAAATGAATTGCCATTTGACGATAGGCTCGTCACTAAGAGCGGACAATTTGCCTTGCAGCACGTTCATTCGCTGCAGGTGGCTTCGACCTCTGGTGACGAAGTTCATGTGCACATGCACGTACTGAAAGGCAAATCTGGCTTGCTCTTGCAGACACTTCTCTCTCAGGCTGGGACCAAACTTGACATTTTGGCTGGAGGTCTCTTTTTTAAATTTGAAAAAATTCCCGAGTCGAAAGCATCTCCTGAAGCAACACCAGAGGTTAATAAGCCAAAAAAAGGTACAGCCATCTGATAAACCAACTCAAAAAATAGACGAATAACACGATCCAAGAGAATGGCATCATAACGCTCATAGAGAGTATCGCAGAGGTTTTTTACTGCAAAAAATAATAATCTGCACGTTGAGGTTTATTTTTTCCTCACAGGTTTTGTTTTTAATTTCCTGAGTGACAGAGATCATGTATAAGCAATATCAATTAAGTTAAAACATTGCACGCAGCACCACATTATCCGAGCATTTATTCATGTTTTCTATTATAAAGATCCTATTTATGTGGGTGGAGGGCTGCAATTAAACGAAATATGCAACAGCGTTATGACGGCCCTCAATAAGTAGGTAGGACCGATTTAAAAGCGCTATCGCCTTTGTCTAAAGGGTAAGTGGATAATGATGGCTTCATTCATAAAGAATGAACCTTGTAAAAATTTCTCAAGGAACAGGTATATAAAGACAACTTTCCATCCACTTGATTGCTATTCGATTTAATTCTTCAGATTCGTACCGGCTGATCCTCCTGAATATGCAGCTTCGATGTCGATTTTTATGACACGCTGTCTTACATGTTTCAAGTATCCAGGTATTGCCTTGGCATCCTGACTATCGTTAATAACAACTTCTGAACCTTAAAATTATCATATATGTAACCTGGCACCCAAAATAGAGGAAAATAGTATCATCGCTTCCCTTCAGCTTTGATTGGCCTTCATTCAAGCAGGGTCCAGTAATACAATCAATTATCTCCTTGAATGGTGCTTGCTTGATCGGATGCTCCTCTGATACTGTAACCTGAAATAGCTTGTTGGGTCCCAATGCAAAATCAATGCACGGAAAGTTGGGTATAGATGGTAGAAACAACTTGTCTGTTGTTTTTGGAGAATGTTGAAAAAATCTGCTGTAGTCCTGGGTAAATAATACATCCGAGGAGTCCCTCGGAAGATCAAAGAATCCTGTTTCGTCTGATTGAAGATCCTTAAATGGAAACCTAAGTCACCACATCGAATTAAATAGTGAACATAGAGTTCAAACGAAGCTCCTTTTTCTATTTCACTGCCAACTTCGACAAGTCGCTTCAACACGTCGATCCAAGTCTGATCTTCTAACTTCATGATGATCCGCGATCGAACATAAGGAGATGCCCATACAGGTGGAAGTGGAGGTGGTCAGAAGTGGGACTCTATGGAGTAAAACAACTACCCGCTTCATCTCCTTCTCTAAAGAGGTCTGAAAGATTGCTTGGGAGCCAGGTACGCGAATGGCATCATTGACGTGGAATAACGCAGCTGCTTTAGCACGCTCAGTATGTCTTGATTTTTGGATAGTACATTGGCTGGACACTTAGAACCTGTCTTGGCACGCCCCCCAAGTAGTAAAAAAGCTCCTCCAAAAATGCTTCACTCACTACATGAAAAAACTTTACATTGGCTCTACATTCCTTAAGCTCATCCAGACTCCAGAGTGACATGTGATAGTAGCTATTTGGTGTATTTTCCTTGGTGAGTTCATCGTATTGCCCATAGAGAGTTCTTGGCGATGCTGAAAATATCGTCCTGGCTTTACCTGGTTGAGGATTTTCACCACTATCAACTAAATACCACGTTTCACGTTGGTCAAGGAAATCTTCGAACATCGTTATTTCCCTTTACGTTGCAAGTTGTTCCTCATACTGATACGTCTAATTGGTATGCTGCTTCTCTTGGAAAATAATAATCGGTGGATTTTCCTCATCGTGTTCGGCAAGGAGGCGGATGGCAAAATAGACCAAAAAGGCTGACTTCCCAATTCCAGGCGTTCCAGTGACAAAGAGTCGGTTCAAACAAGGTACTTCATGAGGGGTACTTAATTCGGATGTAATATGGTCATAAAGCTCTTTATATTCATCTCTGATATAAAGATGCCTTGTTCCGGCAACAGGGAAGATACAACCCTCAGGGGCAGTCAAATTTTGGAACCTTGATACCACCAGAATTTCGGAGCTCGCAAGCCACGCTAATAATGCTGCAGTAAATACTATCTCTGATAACTCCTCCCCATGTACGAAAGCAGCTTGACCCTCTCTTTCGAGTTTAGAGGCGAGATGCAGGGTCACCATTCACTATCCCTTTCGTTACAAGCCCTGCTTCTGTAATCGCATCCTAAGAGACCTCTGCTACCTATACTTGGACGAGCTTTTTTAGAGGGTGACTCTGTAAAGGAGATAGAGTGATCAAGTCAATATTTTTGATTTATTGCACATCACTCTAAAATGATCAATAACCAGATTCTCGGCCAAAAGCACTCACCAGAATCTCCATCTTGTTTTCTTTTCTGACCTAAGTATCAAAAGCGAATAATGAGAAAGAACGTTGAGTTATCAAGACACAAACCAAATGGTGATATTATGCACATGGCCGTTTAAGATACAAACCAAGCTTCATCAGCTGAAAATATCAACAATCAGTCCATCAAGAGCCAAGGATATACCTGCTGTGGTGGCTTGACAAAAACATGGATAGTTTCCTTGGAAGTTCAGAATTAAATATTCCCAAGCTCCTTGACGCGATTGTGAGGCCTCTTTTGACTCGATTTCTGACTCAAAGATGGCCTCGCCTTTGTCAGGGATGGAGACCTTGTAGAGGGTGAGTGGTCAGCGCAATATCCTTAATGCATGGCTTCTCTGTTTTGAATGGCTTGCTTGAGCATCCCGACCGATTTATCGCAGAAAATCTCTACTGGGAACGACGTTGCTTCTCCCTCGACAACGCAGTTCAGCAGTAGCAGTGGGATGGGCGCTTTTTTCGTTGTGGGCTGGTTTACTCTTTTTCGTTTATTGAGTGTGGAGGCATCCTCAGGCTTATTTGCAGTCATTTTTTTTTGTGCTTGGCTCTCTGTGGAATCATTTGCAGCCATGTTTTTTTGTGTTGAGCTCCTTGTGGTGGCCATTGAAAATTAAGATGAGTGGGACTGAGTGTGGTTGAAATGCAGGGAGAATGATGGTTAAATAGGCGAAGGTATATTCTATACTCTTTCACACCGTGGTCGCTGTATGAAACAAAATGAAAAATGTGTAAGGCAAAAAAAAAAAAAAGGAAAGAAAGGAAGGAATAAGGAAGGCAAATTGATGAGAAAAATGGGGTGCAAATGATGAAAAAGGACTTTATTTCAGTTAGGCGACGTGTGAAAAATAATTTTTTTCAAATCAGCCACGTGCCATTTTCTGGTCATTGTGACGTAAATCTTTGCGGCAAGCGAGGTAAGTCTTTTCAATTTTTGTTAAGTAAACCATTTAAATATTTGAAAGAGTCTAGCCAAAAAGAGCGACAAGCTTGACCCTCTGGCGCAAAG